ACATTTCCATCTATATTCTGGTACCTCATAACTGTCAAGAGATATCTTTTCATTTAGGGCTATATTAGACTAAAAACATTGCTTCAAAATTAGCAATGTGACTAGAATCGAATTCTCAAACATGTTCATGAAATTGTAAAAATTTTGTTTTCAGTCTGGCCAATAAAAAATATTTATGTAAATTCATACAATGTGCCTGAGAAGATGCTTCACATTATGAGCCAAGGTCAACTAAGTAACTTTTTGACTCCAGATCCATCCAGGAAGACGCCATCAGTAGCAGTTGCCATATCTGTGTCATACAATATAATCAAATGCTGGACTCTCTTCCAAGCTCAGGTCCAAGTCTAATCAAAAGGAGAAGGATACATTGAGTGATGTACCAACTATAAATGGTAGTGAAAATGAAAAATAGATGTGAGCGAGATTAAAGACCCTTTAAAAAACGTGAGCGGTACAACCCGGCTTTTGGACTGACGGTAAATAATGATTATCTACAAAATCCAATAATAAAAAGCATATGCTCAAGCTAAGATTTTTCATCATATTTATTCAGCAAATAGTCGTCAATGGATCAGCTAGTCTACCCTAAAAGTTCCCTATCAAGACAGTAATAATTGTGATAATAGTATAAAATTAATAGATCAATTTTGTGTAGGCTTTTGATACTTATTTTAGTATATTATAGATACGAAGAGAAACTGGGTTTCTCCTAAGGACTATATTCGTTGCATATCAAGGCAAAGCATGACTAACCAAAGCGGGATACCAGGGTGAGCCACGACATTTCGCCCACACCGTGTCGAGAGGTTCCACACAGCGTTGTGACAACCAATTCTCATCCAAATTCTTCTTGTCCCATTTATGATGCTTTAAGGGTAGCAGCAGCTTTGACAAATCAGCTACTCGCCTTGAGTTGGCAGTTGAAAGAAGTGATACGTCAGAAGCCGTATAATTAGAGAAGCCGTGGTGCTGAGCACGTGATATAGGAAACAGATCTAACCGGCCTGAACAAAGCTGCCGAGAACGAGGACTCATATGCATATAATGAGGATGATGGGAATGTTGAATATGCTGGCGTTTAGATCGAGGACCAGAATGGCCACGTCGCTGACGTCTTCTCTGCCGCCAGTGCCAAGGCCGAGTACGAGAGTTATGTAGGGTGCATATTCCAGGAGAAGTCAGATTAGGTAGCTCAGTACTTGCGGAGGAGTAGAGAGGAGAGGCAGAAGGATGAGGTAGGGATAAAGAAGAAATTGTACATGAAGGGAGGCAGGTAACACTATCTGCCTCTGAGAGAAGTAAAGGATATTCCGAAGTAGAACGCTGCGAAAGAGTGTAAGTTTTAGGTGGAATACAGAGAGGTGGAAGGGGAAGAGAAGAAAGAGAAAGATGTGATGAAGGAAGTGGAGGAATGGAGAGAATTAAATGAGAAGATTTCATTACTCCATCTGGGCATGAGTGTTGCCGAGACCTTTTTCGAAGGAAGGATGGACCAGAAATATTAGCATTCACGTTGCTATGAAATGAAGAGTCCGCAACGAGACGAATACCATTGCTAGGGCAATAGTCTGTGCTGGTGTTGGATACAGGCTCTTGATATCCACTATCAGGAGAAACGCCATCAGCCAAAGACCGCGACCGAGTACGAGGAGGAACAAATTTGGAGCTATTGAGAGAGTTTTGGTTCGGAAATTTAGTGGTCAAGTGGCTGGAGTTGCAATATAAGGCACCTTCAGTAAATGAGTGGACTGTCTTGTTAAGAGATAAAGCTGTATCAAGTGAAACTGGGATTGATTGATGCGAATCGCTTTGAGTTTTAGGAGAAAACGAACAGGAAAACTATAAAAAGAAAAAAAATGCGAGTTCTAAAAGAAATATTAGAGGAAAATAATTTTTATGTTGAGAAGATTAATTGCAAATAAATTGTCAAACAGACAGTGCCACATCTTCATATGATAGGTTCTTTGGTGATGGTAGGACAATGATAAATATGAGTAAATAGCGATGGAAATCGGTGAAAATATGAGAAGAAAAAAGTGGTGAGAATATCGAGGAGGACCTGATATTGGTGCTTGCAACAAACGATGAATGTAGACCTGTTACAAGTAGAATAGAAGTCTTCACTAGGTATCAGTGGCATTCACTAGTCGCCCCTGCTGTGGAGACCCTTGCTTATGATATTTACTTCTA